GCAGTCACCAGGAGTTAAGAAAGGGAGTCCATGTTTATGGATAGAGAACTTCCCACTCTGAGCCCTTTAATGAAGGTACATGGTTAATCTTACACACACACACACACACACACACACACTCACTCTCTCTCTCTGGCAGTGCAAGTAGAACTAGAGTTTCTGATCCTCTCATTCAGAAGCAGCGGGATCACCATTCTGTTCATTCCAAGGAGTGGCAACAGTGATAAAACCTTCACACATAATCTGGATATCTGGAGAATGTAGAATTAGAAGTTTTCTACCCAGTGATGATAAACTGCACTGTTAGGGTAACAGTCAGCTTGCAAACCCAATAGTTATAGTGGGTAATGGAGGTTCAATAGATATGTTCTTTAAAAATCTTACTTCAATCACTCTTCTATAAATTGAATCTCATTCTAAATGCACCAAAGGGCTGTTGAAGAAATGTCATGTTGAAATTTTTCACAAAGAAAATAATCCCACTCTTGGATCCGTTAATGGAAGTTTTCTATACTGAGTGTTCCTAAACCACAGTGTACCTGGGGTACTTCCCCTAGAAGGCAGCCTCTCTACAGGAGGGCATCCACATCACAATGACAACAATGTTAAAATGCTTTACATCACTCTTTATTTCAAAAGTGCTTTACTAACAAAGACTAATCTTCACAACATTTAAGGGAGGTAGATAAGTATTACACCACTTTCACAGATGGAGAAATGGAGGCAAAGATTAATAGATTGTGTTGAAGGGCATAATATATGGCACGATTAGGAAAAGAATTTGTTGCTGTCATGGATCACTGGTGATCTTTCCCATGACTTCTGAGTCCCACCAACACAAAAGTAGCAGATGCAGCCCAGAAGCAGTTGTCCATAGTTTGGCTAGTCTAAGGCTACACTCTACCTTGTTGATACCAGATGTTGAATGTGCTGCCCTTTGGCAGGTGTTTCCCTCACACACATTCTCATGTGACTCCACCTCTAAAACAGGGGAGAGTGGGAGTTGTTGTGGGTGCAGGAGGGGTTGGAGGAACAGGGCCGGGAAGGCAAAAGACAGAAAGTATGAACTGATATCAATGCAAGGGTGAGGAAGAACAGGAGGACTGGCTGGAAGCAGCCCAACACGAAGGAAACCCACGGCAGAAAAGAAGTGTCACTCCATCTGAAAAGCTCAGACATCCAGAAATGCAAGTAAAAGGGTAATTCTTAGCAATGATACTATAGAACCATTCCTGGTGGCTTTGCCAAATAAAATTATCAGGTCCTTCTGACATTCCCAGGAGGCAGAGCCATTCCTTTCCCCTGGTCCAGACCAAGTGCTGATGTAATTGACCTGACACTGCAGAGGCTGTTGACAACTCAAATGCACTCGGCCACCACACCACCTCTCTCCCTCTATTCTCTTCCCTTTTTTTTTTTTTTTGTAAGATTTTATTTATGTATTTGACAGAGACACAGCAAGAGAGGGAACCCAAGCAGGGGGAGTGGGAGAGGGAGAAGCAGACTCCCCACGGAGCAGGGAGCCCGATGCGGGGCTCGATCCCAGGACCCTGGGACCATGACCTGAGCCGAAGGCAGACACCCAACGACTGAGCCACCCAGGCACCCCTCCCTCTATTCTCTTTCTTCTTCTTCTAAAAAAAAAAAAAAAAGCCAGTGCATTTTAAGATTCTTTCTGCAAAATTCCTAAAACATTCCCTAAAATTTTGCTGCATAACAGGGTAGGATTCCATGTTTGACTTTTGTAAAGGGGCTGTGATAGGCATACATGGGGATTGCCAGCCCCTATCAGCCAATGCCCCTTTATACAACATGGGACACTAAGGAGAAAACCTTTTCTGATCTTTCTAGCGCAAAGCCATTATAAGAGATGGTGACATGCACCACCCGCTGCAATGGAGGTCCTGGGGGCAGAGGCAGCACTAAATGAGGGCGCTGACAAGGACCCAAGGAGGGGCTAAAGTGTCGGATGGACAGGGAGAAGAGGCAGAAGTCAGAGCGAAGAGGGGACAAGCAAAGCAGAGATGGGTGGAGGTGCTCGCGTTTGAGGCTGAGTGGCAGGCAACAGCATTCCTTCATCTCTCGGCCTCTCCTGGGTTGGGTCAGAGCCAGAAATGCATCCTTTCTGCCTTTATTTCAATCGGCAACATTATTCTTCCAGGCATCTAGCTTTATAACACCTCACCCCTCCTCTCCCACAAAAGCAATCAACTGCCAAGCCTGACAGATTCCACCTCTGCAGTGCCCTTCACATTGGTCTCCCTCAGTCTGACTACAGCCTCCTCTAGATCCTCCTATCATCTCGTCCTAACCAGGGCCAGACCCTCCTACCTCATCTTCTGGGCTCCAGTCCTCTCTGAACTCAGTTGCACCTTCTCACCTTCCTCCTGGAGCACAGTGTTGATCATGCTACTGCCCAATTTGGAAATTCACCATGTTCTCACTGCCGCCCGGTTATGGGTCTCATCATCTTGAATCTTCAACAGGACCTTGCATCTAGCAAAGGTTCTCCTCTTTCTGAATCTCCACCTGTCCAAATGCCAGCTCTAAAGAACTTAGCTCAGATGCCCCTCCTCCAGGAAGCTTTCCTTCCTCCTGGAGGAAGTGCCATTTGCTCTGAGCTGCAGATGCACTTGAAGACATGCACTGATGGCGTCCAGGACAGCTGTGTACAAGTCTCACCTCCCCTACTGGGCTGTGTCCATGATTTGGCCGGGTGGGGGATGGTGAACAGTCTTAAAATTTGTCTGTTCCCTAAAGCACCTACCAAGAAATGCTTTTGCATTTCCACCTCAGGCAAGGAGCTGCTCAACAGTGAAATGAACATGTACCTGTCCATGAATGGAGACACCAAAGTACACTATAGGTGTGATCTGGCTCTCAGGATAAAACAAATCCTTGATATAACTGAGGGATGGGACGGGCAGACAGGTGGGACTATTTGTTTTGGAGTCGAGAGACCTGGGACTGAGCTTCTGCTTTGCCATTTACTAGCTACTGGTTTGGTACCAGATGATTCTTCTCTGAGCATCATTTCCTCACTTTTGCACAACCTCACAAGATTAAGGATCAAATGGGACATATCTGTGAGCTCTACACCATTGGTTCTCAGTCCCAATGATGTAATCTCCAATAAAGTTTTCAAAAAATGTGGAGGACCAGGCCCCAACCCAGGTTAACAGAATCAGAATCTTCTGGGAGTGGGACCAGGTGGGACTAATTATTTATAAAATACTATTTCTAATGCATAGCCCAGGTTGAAAACTACTGTTATAGACTCATAAATACCATTAACAGTAGAGCAAGGTGCTTTAGGCTTCTGGTTTCATTATCCTTTATTTGGTTAGGAATCAGTTCCATGTTTTTATAGTTTCGTTATGTGTGTGAGCATGTTTTGTGTTGTGTTCTGCATGGTTGTGTGCTTAAGTGATAAATTCTGAGAGAGGATAATATCGGGCACACTGCTGTACACAAAGTATACCTAACCCAATTTGGGGGGGGGGTGGGGAGAGAATAAGTAAAAACTTCAGAGAGTCCTCTGAAACCTTGCTACACGAAGTGTGGTGACCAGGCAGGCAGAACTGGCATAACCTGGGGGCTTGTAAGAAATGCAAAATCTCAGGTCCCACTCTAGAAGCTGCATATTAACAAGATTTCCAGATGACTCTGAAAAACAAACAGGGTTCTAGAGGGGAGGGGGGTGGGAGGATGGGTTAGCCTGGTGGTGGGTATTGAGGAGGGCACATTCTGCATGGAGCAATGAATCATGGAACACTTCATCTAAAACTAATGATGTAATGTATGGGGATTAACATAAGAATAAAAAATAAATTAATTAATAATAAAAAAAAAACCCAAGATTTCCAGATGGATCAGTAGGTAAAGCAAAGCAAAACTTCTCTCAGTTCACATCTGTGTTGAGGGCCTGCTGTTCCCTGCCCTAATCCTGAGGGGGTGGGAGGGCACGAAGAGTCCAAGTCCTGTCTCCCATAAACCATTTAAGCTTGGGACTTTATCCAGATGTGTCTTGTCTAAAGGGTCCATTTGGTAAAAACTAAACGAAGAACACATATCCTTTCAAAAGGATCCTTCCTTTCAAAGACTAGTCTTCACACCTTTCCTTCAAATCACCGGTTCCTCTAAGATATTTAAAATATCAGAGTAGAGAATAAACTGATATCCACTTAAGTTTTATGCAGTGCATCAATAACATGTGTATGTTTATCTTACTGAACTTACAGTCCCTGGGACCCAAATTCCAAAATTATGAGGGCTGGAAGCTGAGCCAATGCAGTAATCAATTCTTCCCTGTTGACCCATACCCTCTGGACAGCTGTGATCTTAGCGGTACCCATCCAAGGCTGTGCAGACCATACCACAGTCAAGGAGTTGCAGCAGATTCTCAACATTATCCAGACCGATTTCCTTGTCGTTTGGACAGCAAAGACCAGAGCCACGGATTAAAAGGAGTTACCCCAGGTCACATAGCACGTTGAGGCAGAGCCATGATCAGAATTCAGGCCCTGACTCCTAGCCCTACACTCCCAACATAGCCTCTGCCACACATACTTTTCTTTCCCACCACATGGCCTTGACATTTCACACTCAGAAACTGCTGACCTGCCTTGGCACATGGTGTCACTTTGCTTGTTCCAGCGACTGCCGTGCCCAACGTCCCAGAACTGTTTTCAACACCAGGCTACAGGAGAAGCTCTATCACAACTCAACCAAAATATCCATTTTCCCATCCATATTTCCAAATATGTTGGTAATGGGTTCTTAAGAAGCCCAATGCTAACTGTGCAATGCAAACTACATAGCATTACTGTTGGGTAGCACCATGAGCACAGTGAAGGAAGGGCCTTTCCCTAGGTGGCTGGAGATTAAAAACAGGGCACCATTAACTCAGTAGCACAAAGTTGGGAGGACACTACAGAAGGAAAGCAAAAAACGAGCACAGTGGGGGAGGCAGCACCTTTAAAAAACATACACAGTGTGACTATAAAATTGCAAGTCTTATCTTTTAATAAAAGAGACATGACAGATCGTAGAAATCTAAATGAACGTGTCTCCCTCAAAGCAGTTACAGCTTTAGTTCCACCAAAGCTACAACTGTTGGAGCCACTATTTAGGGAAAGGCCTTCAAAGGCAGCTTATGAGCCACATTAGAAAATATCCTTCCAAATGCTGGACTGTTTAAAATTGGGAAAGCCACTCAAAGAACGCCACTGGAAAACAAAAACAAAAACAAAACAAAAAAACAAGAGGTGCTGTGTGCATGGCTCTCAGGGAGGTCCCCTAAAGACCTCCAGCGAGCTCTGAGCAACAGCCCTACCACCGCAGAAGCAACGTGTGGCCTCCCGGGGCTCTCAGCCGCTTTCAACAGCAGCCGATTCATTTGGAGAGAAAAGTTCTGCTGTCTACTTAAAAAAAAAAAAAAAAAACCAGCCACACTTCTTTATAGTCACACTTACAATCTGATTAAAAAAATACAACAACAACACTCGCACATGGTTCTTGTATGAATTCTAATTTTAAGAGACATTACATTCAGAATTCTAGCACTCGTAGGGATCATTTTCAGGAGACTGGAACAGCTTCTTTGCCACTGACGGGGGACACGGGGTGCGGCTGTTCACCTGAATGTATTCTTAAATACGAGACTACTACCACTCTTAAGTTTCCTAGTTGTAGCTCTGTTACGAGTTCCTGACCGCGAGTTCACGTTCCGGATCGGTTACAGGGGAGCCGCCCCCGCAGTCTTAGGGTGAATTGGGAAAGGGCCGGTTAAATGAGGAGACAGGCCACTCCTTGGTGAAAGTTTGTAGTTTTCTTTCCCAATACATCTTCTTTTTATTGAGAACTTCCATTTTTATCCTGTGCTCCTCCTCTGCCATCTCACACTCCCGCTCTATCTGCTGGATTTTGGCCACATGCACCTCGTTCATTTGTATCAGCTGCAGCTGTAAGATGGACATTTGTTGATGGTGTTCTTCCTCATGCATCTTTTTTAAAGCACCTTCCTGAGAGGTTTTGCTCCTGTAGTGTTTATTGGCTGTGATTCTGACAGCTGAACACGAGGGTTCAGGTTGAGAGGTCCCCTCACACACTGGAAAATGTATGAACTCTTTCTCATCATCGCACAGTTCTCTATTTGAAACAGCAAATGATTCTGAAAAACAGTAGCAGAAAACATACGTTCAAAGATTTTACAGGCAGAGAGTAAATCGATCCTATTTCAAATGACAGGTCCCCCGTCACAGGATGGAGCCGAAACGGCGTCTGCATTGGCCCGCATGTCTACGGGCACCCTTGCCATGCCTGGATTTTGAAAAACCCTCAAATTAAAACCAACGTTCCCTTCAAAAGTCATGATAAAGGGTTTTGTCCTGTCATGTCTATAACTGTGAACTCCGGGAACAGTGGTCCGAGACTGTGCTGATAAAGAACTGGAGACCTTGTTATGTTGATCTAAGTTCTCAACGAGGGTGCACAACTCAGAGTAAGCAGAAGGCCACACTCGAGGCCAACAGTGGGTTTTCAGATTAAGTTCTCCCTCAGTCTGATCGCCCTCTCTCAGTCTCTCAACCAGCTGTGAAGTTGTATTATGTTCAATCTCCACGGGGGTCCTGCTGCTCTGTTTTCTGGTCATAGGTCTTAATCCTGGATAGCCATTTTACAGATGTTCCAGAAAGGTGAGTCTACATTCCCCGGCGTAACCTCCCAGCACACCATTCATCTGCAATCTCAGGTATCTGGCTGTTACCTCTAGCACTGCCATCTAGGGGTCAATATTCAGATCTCAAAGACACTTTTCAGGGCCCCTCTTAAGTAACCTCTCCCTAGCACTTGACAATCTTGAAATTTATTACTTCTGTACCATGGCTCTCTGCTCAGTTTTCTACACCTCCCCTCTGATTGCTCCTCCTCGACCCTCCTTCCAGGACTCAGACTCTTGCTTCACCCACTCCTCCTCACCCCTTTACTATTCTCCTGGGGTTCCCATCTTTGGCTCTGTTTTCATTGCACCCTAAGGAACACTCATAATCTAGTTCTGGCCTTCCTTTATCTTTCTTGACTTACTCTTCAAAATACTCTGGGCGCCCTACAATCCTACCACAAACTTCACATTCTTTAAAGGCCATGCTCTCTTTAAAAAAAAAAAAAAAAAAAAATGGGGCGCCTGGGAGGCTCAGTCAGTCAAGCATCTGCCTTTGGCTCAGGTCATGATCCCGGGGTCCCGGGGTTGAGTCTGCGTCAGGCTTCCCACTCAGAGGGGAGTCTGCTTCTCCCTCTGCTCCTACCCCCTACTCGTCCTCGCTCTAATAAATAAATAAAATCTTTTAAAATATTTAAAAAATAAAGGCCAAACTCTTTTTCACAATTCTGTCTCTGTTCCTTCAGCCTGAGGCTGGGCTAACCATTCCTCTCTCTTGCCTCCCCCCCCCCAGCCCCCACACTCGTGCCAACCTGTGCTTAGTCCAGACTCTCCTTTCAGCCTCCCCCCAACCCGTACTTTGTTCAGGACCCGTGAAACACCAGGTCTCTCCTTTCTCTACAAGTACTCTACTGTTACAGCACTTACCGCATCCCAGTATTACTTTGGGACCATGCCTTATTCATTTCTTTTATCCTTGGGCACCAATTATTTATCTTGGTACACAGAGGATGCCTAGTAAATATTTATTGGCGGAAGCTCTGAACATAAAGGGAGAAGAGCTTACACATTTGCACTAGTATTTTTATGGGGCCACAACATTTTATCAATTAAGGAGTTTCAGTAAGGAAGACACTAACTCCACTAACCCATGGAGTCTTCCTGCTGTGACTCCAAGGCCTTCTTGGGAAGCTTTATGTTTCCAATAATGAGGATTGTCTCCTTGGAGAAAAATAGTATCAATTTATTAACGGAGTTGATTACATTATTACGTCCACTCCATTATTCCAGGAGATGGGATGCCGGGAATGTTAACGGCTACTGGGGGAAACCTAACTCCTAATACTTCGTTAATAAAAGGGAAATGGCTACTGTTTAGATTATTTCACTCCAATGGGTTAGGTAACAACCATAACCGGTCCCTAATTAAGATTAAAGGAAAGGTAGAAGTCTCGCTTCTGAAAGAGAAGGTTAAAAGTACTTCTGTCATCCAGAGATAGTGAAGATGTCTCCCTAGGAATCTTTCCCAACTCCGAGGGCTGTGGCCTTAATTAGATGTCTTTCCTTCACGCTCCTGCTGCCTCCTGAGCCTACCTCTGGCAGAGCACTTGTTAAAACTGGTGGCTTAACTACCTCCCCGTCGAGTCTCTGAATACTTTGAAGACAGAACCTGGCTCTTACTCATCCTTGTGGAGAACCCACTACAGGGCTTGGACACTGCTGGCCATGTCAGAAGTGTGTGGGAATGAACTGGTTTCAGTGGGTCACATCCCTACCAACCCAGCACAACTGTGTAGACAGGACAGTGTTCTGAGTGGAGAGCCAAGGCACAGGACAAGAAAATGGGACAGGCTTCGCCCTGAAAATAGGGTCCCTCAGATGTAAACAACTGTAAAGAGGATTACCTCATCTGCTTCCCATCTAGTCTTAGATCTCAAAGTGTCTTCTTTGAAGGCTGGACACAGAGACATTTTTTGATACCTCTAGCCTCTTTTTTCTGTGATTCCATTCCAGGAGATAGTTTTGTATGCTCTCTAAATTTTGAAAGTTCATGCCCTCGGGTGGCTCAGTCATTAAGCTAAGTGTCTGCCTTCTGCTTGGCTCGGGTCATGATCCCAGGGTCCTGGGATGGAGCCCTGCATCAGGCTCCCTGCTCAGCAGACAGCCTGCTTCTCCCTCTCCCACTCCCCCTGCTTGTGTTCCCTCTCTCTGTGTCTCTCTCTCTGTCAAATAAATAAATAAAATCTCAAAAAAAAAAAAAAGTTCATGCCTTCATGATGCTGCGCATCTCTCCCCATTTCTAAATTCTCATTTTTAATCTCAACTATTCCAGGCTTTAGGGGTCTGATGATGATGATGATGATGATGATGAAGGCAGCTACCATTTTCTGAGTAGCGAACCAGGCACGAGGCTAGTGCTTTACAGCATCACCTCATTTAAGGTTGTAAGACAACCTTCTGAGGGGGAGGTATTATTACAGAAAACCAAACACAATATCCCAAGTCATTTGGCTAATTGAAAGAACCAGGACTCTAATCCAGGTCTTGCATGACTCCAAAATCCAAGCTCCACTACCACAACACCCAGCCTCTCTCTACTTCACTTGCTCAGCTGATCACTTATGCATCTTAAAAATGCTGCCTCCAAGTCGTATCCACTACAAAACGCTCTACTATTAAGAATATGGGCACCTGGGGCACCTGGGTGGCTCAGATGGTTAAGCGTCTGCCTTCGGCTCAGGCCATGATCCCAGGGTCCTGGGATCGAGTCCCACATCGGGCTCCCTGCTCAGCGGGGAGCCTGCTTCTCCCTCTGCCTCTCTCTCTCTCTGTCTCTTATGAATAAAGGAATAAAATCTTTAAAAAAAAAAAAAATATGGGCACCTATTCCAAATTTTGATCTCCAAATTTGTTTCTATAGAGCTGTGAACATGAAGACAAGTACGGCCATGTTTGGGAGCAGAGAAATGACTCTACTTGCAAACTATCCTTTTTTAGTTTGAATGTGTGCTAACATATAAATTTTGAAGAAGAAAAAAAAATCCAGGCCTCTTAAGAAAACTCTGGCAGAAGCTGGGGCTTAAAACTAGAGGAGCCTGATGGAGTAGTTAATTAACTTTCAAACAAATATTAGCTTCAATGAATGGAAGCTAGTGTTCAGATGGGGAGAATCTTCTCTTAATTGGAAAGACTATCCTGGGAATGGCAACCTACTGCAAACACACACCATGTAATCTCTCTCCCAGGTAAAACAAAGCCACCCGAAGTAGAAAACAACTCAATCTTGTACAAAATGGATCGGAAGGCCTAAGGGCTTTTCCGGGAGCAGAGAACACTCAAAGAGGTATTCTTCCACTTGGGCAATTGGAGTAAGTTTAATATCAGCAGGAAATACCTACTGTGGCAGTATATGGATGGAAAGGAAACTGTGTACAGGCCAAACCCCAGCCCTTCTCCATAGAACAAAGGAAAGAGGACTGACTAGGAAAATGGATAAACAAGATGCAGTGTGTGCATACTACAGAGTATCGTGCATCAACTAAAACAAATTAGATTTACACACTGCAATGGGAATAGATCTTAAAAACATTCTAAATGAAGGGCGCCTGGGTGGCTCAGTTGGTTAAGCATCTGACTCTTGATTTCAGGGTCATGGGATCGAGCCCCATGATGGGCTCTGCACTCAATAGGGAGTCTGCTGGAGATTCTCTCTCCCTCTCCCCCTGCTTCCCCCAAATAAATAAATAAATAAATCTTTTTAAAAAATTCTAAATGAAAAAAAGCCAAAAAAAAAAGGAATGGTATCTATAGCACAATTTTCAATCTATGTAAATTTAAAATATATTCACTCAAAACACCAAAGCCTGCTCTCAAGAACATGTGAGAGAATACACAAGTACACTGGAATGATTAGGAGGCAGAAGAAAAGAATGAACGTGGTTAAGTGATAAATAACAAGAGAATAAACATGTAAGTAACACAAAAAAGGGGCTTTTCACAGACCAATGATGTTAATGTGCCATGACCAGAAGTATAACTCAGTCTCTGTACTGGAGTTCCCACCCCAAAAGAAGAGGATTGGATTAAAAAGTGATTAATAATGGAATTTATTAATAAATATTTACATTATTTAATTATAGCTTTGTATACCCATGTTTGCATTATTTGCTTGTAGCTTTATAAAGAGAAATAATAGCTATTATATAATAGCATATGAAATTATATATAAGTTCTCTTAAGATAGTTGAATACTACTTGAAAACTTAGTTTTTTTTTTTTTTTTTGAAAGCTTAGTTTTCTTAAATGTATTTGACATTTGGTCAGCTTAACCTCCTTCCCACCCCTAGCACATTTTGTTGGCTCCCTTAGTTTGTTCTGCAAACCTGTTCCCCCAAGATAATGGGAAAGACCGGTCAGCCAAATGATCACATATTATAAATTGATAGGATACAAATTGTTTCAATATATTTAAGGGGACAAGGCTGGGTTTTTTGCAAATGCATTCCTTAGTGTTAAATTTTAAGACTATGTGTTCAAAAATACAGATGCACATCTCAAGGAAGTCATGGACAAAGCTAAGAATATCCAGGGGCTGGTGATCAAGAGGACACAGCTGAAACCATCTCACACTAGAAACAGCTGGAGGGAAGCCTCTAGTGGAATGCTGCCAGGCTCCATCCTGTTCAACGAATTTCAACAAATCTCTAATCACCTAACTCTGTACAGGCACTCTGTAAGGGGTTAGAACAGCACTGTCCAGTAGAAATATAATACCAGCTACTTCTGTAATTCAAAATTTTCTCATAGCCACCTTAAAACAAGTAAATGGAGGTGAAATTAATTTTAATAATATATTTTGAACCAACATATTTAAAGTATTATCATTTCAACATGTAATCCAAATAAAAATTATTAGTAAGATATTTTCCATTCTCTTCTTGGTATTAAGTCTTAATGATACAGTGTGTATACTTAGAACATATCTCAATTCAGTCTATCCACATTTTCAAGTGCTTACTAGCCTCTTGTGGCTTGTGGCTACTGTATTAGACAGCACAGGGTTAGAGATACTAAATTAAAGCGTGCACGCACATGCACACGCACACACACACACACACAGTCTATGTGTCGAACAAAATACACACCACAAAATGAAAGCCATATCCTATTGCAACTTTTCAGCTTTTTCCCCCACCAAGACCTGGAAGGGATAACTGACAATTACAGCTTTCTTCCTCTTTCTTGAAAGTAAGTTGAAATACAAAATGAGGTAACCTCAAGGCTGTTTTAATGTATAAAGAGAGTTCCAGTACCTTAACTACTCATGTTAACAGATTACTTTGGACACACTTCCCAACTGACAAAGCACCACGGTTCTCCACCGCCCTCCAGATGTGACCTAGAAACAGGAATAGTCAGCATAGGCTGTACTTTGGTCATCACCGGCAAAAAGAGAAGTCTCCCATGTCATATAGGTACACACACTCAATTTAAAATCAATCTCTTTTACAAGTATGAGTCTCTAGAAATGTCACCACAGAAGGACACTGAGAATCCATATTTATTCCCTTCTTGTTAGAAATTATCAATTGTGTTTATGAGTAGATGAATTACATCATTTCCTCTGAAAAGAAAGAAAAAGGTTTTTGGAATGAACTTGCTCGATCCTACTCTAGAATTTGAAAATGGGGAAATAAGACTGTCCCCTTAGAATAACCCTATGAAACTGATACACAATAATCCAGATCAAAGATTTGCAATGTTAACTGAAAGCAGTCTATCCCAGCATCTCCCTCGGCAACATCTCTCAGGGAACAAAGCAATGTGAAAAACAGCCCTGCTGATTCACCTGTCTCGCTCCCTCAGCACTGCTCCCTTCACTGCCCGCGAAGCATGAATGGCTCTGAGGCCAGGAGATGGATGCTGTCAATTAGCAGAGGGTCCCATCCACGACAGAAGTTAACAAGGAAGGGTAAGAGAGAGAGGGAACAGTGTCCATATCAACACTGTCTACTGGGAGGTACCCTGGCTTGGGAACTCAAGAATCAAAACTCACGCAGGGTTTCTACACTGGAAAACAATACGTGAGGCTCATGACACTATGGTCATCCAACTGGCTCCCTGCGCTTAATCTTGGTCAAATGATCAGCAGATTTTTGATTATAATGTCGCTTCCTAGGATGATCTGCCTACAGTGCAAAAAAATGTGCTAATTGAAAACATGTAATTGGTTCACTTGGTTATTATTATTATCTTTTTCACTCTATATGGATAACATTCTTGGTTTTAGACAGTTTCTTGTGATTTATAACTAACCACTCCCACAGAGCTCAATCTAGTCTGGGCACACTAATTTCTCCTCCTGCAAGCCAAAGTTCATGGTTTTCCTGAGCAAATGCTTGCTGGGTCCTTGGAGCAGCACTCGGGCCTCCCCAGGAATATTCCTCTGCTTTAAGGTGTGTCTTCTGCAAACTGCAATGAATCATTATGTAAACTGACCATTCCTACCTTAAAGGAGGCAAGAATTATTGGCAATTTATCTATACGCATTACCACCCTCCCCTTGCCTAGAGACATTTCAACAGCCCCTTCATTCCAACCTTTTCAAGCTATGATAATCATATGACACACAACACCCTTGATTCCATGACAGTCTTTTCCTTCCCTAAAAATTCTGTATTTTTTCTTGTTTTCAATGAAAGTATATTAAAACTAAAATGAATTTTTCCTAGAATTTCTCAACTTTGCTCGAGTGCCACAAACCAAAACTGTGGATCACAATATTATAATGGGTCAAAATGCTGGTTTTTAATCTAGGTGAATGCTAACAGATGTTTGCTATATTTGTCTTAGTACTTAATTCTCAAGTTTGAAATAGTTCACTATTTTAATGTGGCCTCTGAGTGACCTAATGCAGTAACGTGCGCCTAATAGGTCCTAAAAAATCGTTTTTGTAAAAAATAAGTTTGCGTGACGGGGCGCCTGGGTGGCTCAGTCAGTTAAACATCCGACTCTTGATTTCGGCTTAGGTCATGATCTCAGGGTCCTGGGATCGAGCCCCGCATCGGGCTCCCTGCTCAGCAGAGTCTGCTTCCCCTCTCCCTCTGCCACTCCCCCTGCTTGTGTGCTCTCTCTCTTCCTGTCAAATAAATAAAGTCTTAAAAATAATAAGATTGAATGAATGAATATAAATTCTCAAAGAAATTCTCTTTAATAGAGATGACATAGGTTGAGATAAGCAACTGAGGTACTTCATTCATAACTATATTAACATAGCCCCTTATCTTTCCTTTATTCTTCATGATAAAGGCAAGAGAGACCTCGAGAACAAGGATAACAACAAGTCCTTTTGTCGTTCTGTACTTCTAGGACTTGCCTGTTCTGTATAACCTGCAGATTTTGAATTGGGAAGAATCAAGTTTGACATGAGCGCTTCTCTTTAATAAACACCCTCAGAATTAAGAGACTGTAAAACGAACACGCCCAGCAGGTACCCGGTGAGAACACACACGCAGGCTGGCCTCAGGAACCAATACCTGGGGCCGCGCTGTCAGGGTGGTATTCGGGCTCCTCTTCAGGAGGGCTCTGCAGGAAGTACAGCTGCTCCGGCAGCATGTTGGCGATCTTCTCCTTCCCCAGGACGTGGGTGCTCAGAAGAGGGCTGACGCTCCGTTTCACCTTCTCTCTCCTCTCATGGGCCATAATCTTTTTGGTCCGAGCCTTGATGTTCTCCCAGCACTTCTTCAGCTGCTTGAAATCCCGCAGTGACACGCTCGGCTGAGAGTTGTATTCGTGCGCAAGCGCCTGCCAGGTGCGCTGCTTGAGTGCAATAGTTCGCGCGTCGCTTTTCTTGCATTCCAGCACATATTTGTACTTTTCTACCAAAGCAAGCAGGATGCTCTTTTCCAATTCCGAGAAGTATTTGGCAGGTTTTATGATTTCGTTGTTTTGCATTTTCCACTCTATTTCTCCTGGCTGTTAGCGATCCTGTAAAAGGAAGTTTGAAACAATCATTACTAACTCCAGCAAGGAAAATGGCCACAGACCACGTCAACTTAATCCCTGACATGATTCCCTTGCCTGAAACGCAGGACTTTCTGTCCCATTAATGTTGAATTAGGATAGTCTCAGGAAAAACGTTCAGAAGGTCACTAGAAGTGGGGTTTTACTTCAAAGAAGATTTTCAAGTAGGTCCTTTATTGTAGGTCTTGGACATTCTGAGAATATCTTGTATGTAATGGCAAAAAAGAAAAGTTGAACATCTACATGGAACTCTTACTTTGTTCATTTATTTCTGCTCAATGTCAGGGAACTGATCGTTCTCCACATTCATAATGTTAGGCAGCTTTTCAACTAAACAGCTTTCTCAAAGTTTTGTCACAGCTGAAGATGAGAAAAGCCAGTGTAACCAAATGGAATGGATATCATAACCACTGAGATTTCAGAATCATCAAGAAATCACCCGGGGCGCCTGGGTGGCTCAGTCGGTTAAGCGTCTGCCTTCGGCTCAGGTCATGATCCCAGGGTCCTGGGATTGAGCCCCGCATCGGGCTCCCTGCTCCGCGGGAAGCCTGCTTCTCCCTCTCCCACTCCCCCTGCTTGTGTTCCCTCTCTCGCTGTGTCTCTCTCTGTCAAATAAATAAATAAAATCTTTAAAAAAAAAAAAAAAGAAATCACCCCAAAAGACCAGACATTTCCATCACTATGTCTGTGACCTTGGACAGGGCCATGCTCCAAGAGGAACCTGTTTCTTCATCTTTAAAATGAGGGCTTGGAGTCTGTGATCCCTAAGGTCTGAGGGCCACTTTTAAGTGTACAGTCCTATGTAAATAATTCATATAATTTCAGAGGTGAAAGGGCCAACAGCCCTTTTCTCAATTGAGGGAACTAAGGGCCAGTAAGTGGACTTTCCAAGATCACAAAGATGGCACCTTGGGGAGTCAAGAATCTAGACTGTCCCTATAATCTGATATTTTTTTTAACACACCAAATATTCATTTTTATTATGGATATTCCTTTAAAGTCTTTGTTCGCATATAATAACAGTTATCAATTATATATTATAATTTTTGAAATACTCTATTTCTCCATTTTCTTTTAAGAGTAAGTCTACATACCTTTTTATATATTTAGTTTAAAAATCTATATTTAAGGGCGCCTGGGTGGCTCAGTCGGTTGAGATCCAACTCTTGATTTCCGCTCAGGTCGTGATTTCAGGATCATGAGATCAAGCCCCATGTCAGGCTCCCTGCTCAGTGGGGAGTCTGCTTGGGATTCTCTCTCCCTCTCCCTCTCCCTCTGCCCACCCTCTCTCTAAAATAAATAAATAAATCTTTAAAAAAAGAAAAAATATATTTAATATACATAAATTTGATAGCCATACACATAATGAAATGATTACTACAGTCAAGCTAATTAACACATCATCTCCTCACACAGTTACCTTTTTTCTTTTTAAAGATTTTATTTTTTAAGTAATCTCTACACCTAACGTGGGGCTTGAACTTACAACCCCAAGATCAAAAATCACATGTTCTACCGATGAGCCGCCAAGTACCCCAACACAGTTCCCATCTTTGTGTGTGTGCTAAGAGCACCTGGAACCTACTCTCTCAGCATATTTCCAGTATTCGATACAGTATTATTCTCTATAGACACAGACTTGTTCATCCTACATAACTGCAACTTTGGACCCTCTGTCTATTATCTTCCCATTTCCCCCACCTCTGTCCTCACTCTCTGGTAACCTGTGTTCTACAATCTGCTGCCGCTAGCAGTTCAAATACCCTAGTATTCTTGGGGTGACTGGGTGATGGACACTGGGGAGGGTATGTGCTATGGTGAGCGCTGTGAATTGTGTGAGACTGTTGAATCACAGATCTGTACCTCTGAAACAAATAATGCAATATA